GGCAGTAACTGATGCCGTTAGCTTCAGCCTGGTGGAGCAGAAACAGGTTTTAGGGGCAGTAACTGATGCCGTTAGCTTCAGCCTCATGGAGCAGAAACAGGTTTTTGGCTCCCAGTGAGGTCTGAACCTGAGACAGGTTCCTGCTGAAACTAGGGCAGTGTGTCACAGCGTTACATCACATCATGAGGGATTAATGCCTTCTGCCATATCGGATTTCATCCAACGCACGTCTTGGGCCAAGCTGATAACAACCTCCATTAAATCTATCAATCTGCATTGAATCATAATTTTGCACAAGTGTGTATTTGGCAGCAGCAGCGGTGCAGCAAATCACACGGATTTTCATTAAAAGAAGGCTTGAAGAGGAGCTGAATATGAGCACGCTGCACTCTGGACCACCTTCTGGTAGAAATGCTGCTTTTAGTGTCAGAACATATGAAGTGAAAGACAAGTATCAGCTGCCTCGTATAAGAAGTGCTGAGACTTTCCATGAATGTCAGAATCATTGAACATGAATACCTGGAGGTCCTCTGCGACCGGCCTTGTCCTGGTGCCTCCCGGGCCCCTCTTTGGTTTCCATCTGAGGTTCTGTGGTTTCATCCTCTGTGGTCTCAGAGTCTGGAATTGAGGGAAAAAAACAAGATAACAATCAAAGATGGACATCGGCGGTGGAGACTGAGGTAGAGGATGAGAGGAAAGTGAGAAGAGGAAGTCAAACATAAGAGTCCAGGTAAAAATGACATTTGACATGGAAGGTGGTGTTCCTCCAGCTCTGGATCAGTCTGACTGGTAGCTGAACAGCAGGGTGGGACGGATTTAGCGAGGAGAGAAAAAAACCTGAACAAGAGTCATTCCATCTGAAAAAGCAAACTCATGACCTCTTTAGAGAAATGATGTGTTTGCAAAAGGATTGTATTTACAACTTATAGATCACTGGGAAGATTCAAATGTTACCAGGAATGAAAATGATTATTTCTCATTTGAACTTGAACAAAATAACCCGATCCAGTAACAGTCTAGTTCTGACAGGACGGGCTACATAAACAGATGATTATTTTCTGAATAGGGGTGAAGAAAATGACTGAAAACAAAGAGAAACACACATACGAGGATCATTCAGGAAGAGAGAAGAGGCCGTGAGCAGGCGATGGCGGCAGTGCAGACCAGTGACAGAGGGAGCTGAACTCAGACACTCAACACAAGAAGACACAATGAAGGAAAAGGCCACCAACACAACGAAGCAGATGACATCAGCAGAGAGAGCAGATGAAGTGGGAGGTGGACAGATGGAGGGGAAGGGGTGGAGGAGTCGAGGCAGGCAGGTTTACCATAGCTTTGCTTTCGGCAGGAGCGGAAAACTTCGCTTCCATAGTGGCAGCAAGAGAGGGCAGACGGGAGAGCACCGTTACTATGGAAACCAGCATCTCTCTCACCCACACGACCAATCCTCTTCGTACCCATTAGAGTCTAAAATCACCAGCCAAACTGCTGGTGGCTGACAGATACGTTCACTGGTTAGAGAGCCTGTGAAGGAGGAGGACGACAACCACAAACAGGTTGCACCTCATCGCGCCTCACATCAAGTCAGATCCTTATCAGATCATTCCAGACGGTCTGCCTAATGGTAAGAAAGCCAGTGAACAATCAGCGTTAACTGTGCACATTGCCAGCAGCATGTGTGTGTTTTCAGGGGCATGTAGATCCACCCATCTGTAGCCAATGAAGGTAAAGAGCTCGCACACCGGGCCATGAAATCAACTCAGCAGTGTAATTACGAGGGAATATCTTTCAGTGTACAACTTGAATTGCAATGTAAACAGGATTCTGAGTCAAGCACGGCCAGCCTCTGGTTTGGCTTCGCTCACAGATTGCACAAATACTGCCAAATATTAGAGCATAAATGATGGAGGCCAGACATTATTCACTCAAGGATTTTATGCAGAAAGGCAGCAGCTTGATGACAAAATGATTACTTTGTGGGGGTGGATGTACAATAAGAGAACCCACTCTTGTTGTAAGCAGTCAGAACAGAAACACACTGAAGCAATATAGATGTTCTACAACTTCCATGTACAACAGATTATTAGTAGAATCAATCAAGATGGAGCACATGCTGTCCAAGGCTAAAGTACAACAGAGGAAAACAGAAGCTGACAGTAATTCAGATTTTTAACAGAAAAAAAACACACAACAGAGCACAACAACAGAATAGAGCTCATACTGACAACACACCATGGGTAAATCTGCCAAATGTCCGCGTGGAGTGCCCAGTTCTCTGAAACAAGACACAAGAGCAGAACGCATTATTCAGCAGCAGCGCTTGGGCCTGAAACTAAACATTCAAGTCCCGCCGTGTCACCGCCGTCACTCTGAGCGTGGACAGGACTCCCGTTACTCCCTTTGTTCTGGCATCATGTAGACGCTGCTCGAGCACACGACGCAGTGTCATCCAGAAGATATATCAGGACAGAAGGTCCTGATGAATCACTGATCTGGAGCACCAAAGCTCGTCTTCACCCATAGAACAGGTCTGGTTGTGATTGTGCAGCTTCTACTTGCATCTCATGTCCATCAGCAAATGAAGTTGCTGATGAACACTCTGAGATCTAAGTGGAGGTTTAAAGGAGACATTATTGGTGACATGCTGTAAAAGCTGCCATCCTGGGACTCTCCTGCTGCTTCCAGCGTTCACGCTAAAGGCTGTTTCCGTCATCACGTGGTCTGCTGCTTGTCCATCATCAGACAAAACAGTTCAAATGTCTGACTCATGTCCCAAAACAGCTTCATCCACTTCATTTGTTCATTCTGAAGCATGAATCCAGTCAGCAGACTGTTCCAGAACTGTTTGATGAGATCAGACGATCACAACCAAACTCCTAAAGCAGCCGTCAACGCTCATATCGAGCTTCCAGTCGTCTACAGTCGAGATGAATCTCTACACTGAAAACTATGTGACAACCTCCTGAGGCTATCTGGGAGTCGGTGTCCGTGCTGATGAAGCAGTTGGTGAAACTGCTTCCTGGACAGTCTGTCAATCAGCACCAAGGAGAGCTCCTCAGAGTGACTCACTGCTGAAGCAGAAGAAGCACAAAGTGACTCATCGACACTCATCCCCCCACGTTAGCTGCACGCTCCCTATTGGTTCATGTTCTTGTGTCAGCCAATTTGATGAAGTGTTGCCTGGTGGTAGCTGCTGTTGGACAGATTCTCTCCCCCCGAAGCCTCCATGTTGTCGTGATCTCCATTGTTATGCCCTAGAGGCGGTCATATCAGCAGAGCCCAGCCACAGACGGCGTCCCTTTGAAATGTTGGCTTTGGCAAACACTTCAAAAAATATGCTGTGGTCACAATCCAAATCCAACAGCGTTACTTTGACAAATGTGCTTGTGGAAGCACAAGAACACGTCTCAGGGGTGTTGTGTTGATGCAGAGCAGCTCCGGCTCGTGCTCTGCTCACTTCCTAACCCTTGTGAGTGGCTGTCCTGATGCTCCTGTCTCCGTGGAGCGTAGCCTACTGACACACTTTCATCTGCCCCTAATTTGCACAACCTGAGCTACATGCTTTTGTTCGTTTTTTACAAATTGCCACAAGTGCTGAAGCTGAATCCATGTTTGAAGACAAAGCTGGTGCAGACGGTTCCAGAGGGAGCAGAGGGAGTCCTGACAGCTCACCGAGTACAGCATGTCTCGAAACCCGAAAATCCAGGTTTCAAAGTGAAGGTCTGATGTATGTTGCCTACAGTACGCTAAAATACATGGCTGTGCCTGGCAACCACAGGTTTCCTGAGCTCACTTTCTGTCTTTGTTAGCTTGTCCTGATTTGTCATCAACAAAACAGACGACAGCACGAACCCATTAGTTCACAACTTTGTTCCACATTTAATGCTTAATTATTATTAATGTGTTCCCTAACGAGTCCTGAGCCTGTCTGTTGCTGTTTATTTGACTGATGCCATCACATTTACATCAGTATTAGGTACAGGGTGTGGCATACCGTCTGAATATGTAAAGAAAACATCTAAATAAACAAGAAGAGCACGGATACGGCTCAGAAACACCTTCACTGGACACATCTGCGTTTCATAAAAGGAGCAAACTCACCTGAAATCTCTTCTTGGACCAAATTTTCTTCATCTTCAAGTACTGCTTCCTGTCAAGCGGACAAGATTACCTGTGGCATGAGCTCACAAAAACATCCCTACAAGCTGAAGAAGCCCAGGGTGTGGCATGAAGAACAGCAGCTAGAAACAAATGTAGATTCAAACGGCGTTGGGCTGCCTCTTCTTGTGCGGGGGTGTGTTTACTCTCCAGTCTGGCAGCAAGACAGGCAGAAAGCGAGCGAGGAGGAGAGCTGGAGGAAGCAAATCAGCCCAAACCAGGTGTCTTTGTGTCTGCCAGTGTATCCGCTGATGTGAAGCGCGTCCCTCTCTGACGTAGCGCTGCCTTCACAGGGCGACTCTCAGCTGCTCCGTCCGACTCCCCCTCTCTCCCCCAGTCAAAGCCACTCAGAACAAGGGGAGGTGGGGGTTGGAAGCCAGAGCATAAGGGCTGTGTTGGTCCTGATTGCAGTGATGAGAGTGGAGAACAGGAAGGAGGAGGAGGAGGAGGAGGAGGAGGAGCAGGAGGAGGAAATGACAACAACCGGCTTCAGCGGAGCATGTTGACTGGTTTTTCTCTGAGCAGCGGGAGGGAAAGATGAGAGTGACAAAGAGATAAGAACCAGGAGCCAGGACGGTGGGGAGAAGACCGAAGAGGAGGAGAGTCAGCCGGAGATGATGGGACAGACGAGGCCAAACGGCCACACATCAGAGACGAAGGCGAGGGTGAGTCCAAGATATGGGCTTTCTGATAACTATGAAGTGCAGCCGTGAATACCACACATCCCTCAACCTCTGTCTTTGAGCCTTTTGTCCCCTTTCCTTTGTTGAAGGCAGCAGCCCTCAGCAGCACCCGAAGCATTAATTATTTATCTGCTCCATGTCTGCTGGCTGTAGTCAGCGATGGGTCACGGCCTCCACACAGCAGCCGCTCTTCATCAGCATTAGTCATGATTAAGGATTAATCATTAAGGCAATGAAATGATAAAGAAAACAACAAAACACACCGAGTCCCGGTGATGTCGTCTGGTGTCGCCAACGGTCTGAAGACACGCTGCGAACGGGGACTGGAAAGAAAAAGGAAGATCCTCTCATCTGTGACGCTGAACAAGCAAATATCTGACTTTCTGCTCAGTAAATGTTTTAATCCAATTCATGGCTACTCGTCAGCTCGACTGTGTAGTTTAAGCAAGTGATTCATTATTTGTAGCAACAACAACACATCAAGCTGTTGTTGACATCATTTAAATGACATTCATTGACTGTCTTTAGGTTTTCCTGTTTGGAGGACCCGAACTCGACCTGCTGTCCAGCTGTAGTTCATCTAACAGTTGCTGAACAGCACAAATGTACTGGAAGCTCAAATATTCACTTTCCTTCTGTCTGTATTTGGCCTCTAACAGCTCCTGAGGGAAACATCTGCCTCCTTCGTGGCTGAACGCTCCACAGCAGCTGCTCACTACGTTGGTCTCTGAGCCATTACAGAGTGGACAGAGCTCATTCTGATGCACTCTTAGTATC